TGGAATGTCATTAGCTGGAATGCCAATAATACAGTCACCAGCTGCATTATTTCCTAATAAGAGTTAGTCTTTCCTTTGAAGATTTGAAGTCAGCCACTGACTTCTCCTCTTCAGCTACCAAAGTCCTAGATGGCATCTTTTTCCAATAGAGGGCTGTTTTGTCTACAAGGAAAATCTGTTGTATAGTGTAGCCACCTTCATCAATGACCTTAGTTACATCTTCTGGATAACTTGAGGCAGCTTCTACATCAGCACTTGCTTTACACCTGTTGTCATCTGAAATACCATGATGAACAACCTAAATCTTTTCATATGATTGATCAAAAACCTTAATGGGTCACTGCCAAATACACAGTCACACACATATACACCTTACCACATGTACAGTCATAAGCTTTTTTGAGCAATTTTACCTTTCACAAATGCAGATATACAAAAAGAACATCTCTTCATTTTCTGAGGAAATTTCAATGTTTGTACATACATGTACAATGTTTACATACAAGTCAACTTTGTAATAATGTATTTTCATGGAGTCAGATTGGTGAAAAAATGCATAAAACAAATTAGGACTCTAAAAATGCCTTCGCAATTTATAACTCCAGGATTGGAAATAATAAGAAATACATAGCACAGGGAATTATAAAACATGCTGATAACTTAAAATAGTGGGAAAAAATGAAAAAAGAAAAGGAAGACATCAAAATAAAATTTAATATATGAAAATATATATTAAAAGAACAGATTATGGGCAATTACAAGGAAATAGTTCATAAAGCTAGCTGACTTCCACAATCACTATATTCTGAGGTCTTGCATCAAGATGAATAGCTGCTTTTTTTCTTTTAAGATATGGCTCTTCTTGAAGAATATATTCACATTTATTTTCTATGTGGCGTTGATCTTTTGAAATTCTCCTATGATTTGATATATACTGACATGAGCATTCTCTATTAAATTTTCCCCTCTTCTGCGCCATGCTTCTATGTTGTTTTGGGTACAAGGAAATCCATTTCACATGTACCCAGATAGACCACAAATTTAGTGGAAACAATTCTCGTGATTTAACTGTAGCATCATTGTGTGTCTTCTTATCCTACCACAGACATAATTATTTTCAAGCCAGTCAGTAACTTCACTTGCTTCTTCAGGCAAATGTTGTTTTAATATATTAAAAACTCCTGGAATGTCATTAGCTGGAATGTCAATGAAGGCAAATGACATACTTTTGAACTGAAGTTTTTGTTGTTGCTGAATCATGCAATCAACTCATCTAAATTTTCTGCCAAATGCATTGGGCTGAATGGAAAAAAAATAAGCTTTATTGGTAATACCTTGAAATTGACCTTTAGAAGTTCTGATCCCACCTAATTTGTAATCTGTCAGTATGGTTTGGGGATTCAATTGAAATCCATTTTCTTCTGCAAAGTCCACCAAATCTTCTAACAAGCACTTATAAAGTGCTTCATGTTTTCCAGTCATTAATACATAAATGAGGGGATAAGTTCTAGAATTTTTAGATCCAACAGGGACATAACTTTTATACAGTTAGTAAAAAAGCAGTCAGGACAGTTTTGAAAGTGCCATCCATTTGAAACATACTAGTTTTTCTATGTTATTGGTAAATTTAAGAAGTCTATTCTCTATTTAAGAATAGTCAAATCCCTATTCAAGAATAGTATATTAAAGGGCAGAAATTATATGCAATTGAATAATTAGGCTGGAGAGATTTTTTGCTTGTGTTTTCATTTCTTCTATGATCTTTGAAACACTCACTGCAATTGTATTTGGAGAGTGGTTAAGGTCTACAAATTTTCTAAGTACATCCTGTTCATTTTGCTCAGGTGTCACAATTAAGTGATTTTTCTGCTTTCAAAGTACCAATAATAATTAGCTTTTAAACTTTTATCTTTCATCATTAAGTAGCCTTGTGCAATTAACTTATCACAGCCTTTTTTTTTTTTGTCTTTTTAGAAAGGAGGTCTTGCTATGTTGCCCAGGCTGGTCTCGAACTCCTGGCCTCAAGTGATCCTCCCACCTTGGCCTCTCAAAGTTCTGGGATCACAGGCATGAACCACTGTGCCTAGCCAATCACAACTTTTTGAGAGAGAACAATTTCACAGATCTCTTCCATTGTGTTGTAAGAAATACAGAAAGAAGGAATATTCAGCTTCCCCAATACCAAATGTGTATTAGCCAGAGTCCTGTAGAGAGAAACCAATAGGATGCATATATAGATATATGAAAGGGGATTTATTAGGGGAATTGGCTTGCATGACTATGGTGGCTGAGAAGTCCCATGACAGGTTGCCTGTAAGCTGGAGACCTTCGTATGCTAATAGTATGGCTCAGGCCGAAAGCCTCAGGACCTGGAGAGCTGCTGGTGTAAGCCTTGGAGTCCAAAGGCTAGTAGCCTAGAGATCTGATGTCCAAGTCAGCAGAAGAAAAGTCTGTCCCAATTCTAGAGAGAGACCAGTTCACTTCCTGTACTTAATCTCTTCCAGATCCCAGCCAACTAGATGATACTTGTCAAAATTGAGGGCAGATCTTCCCTACCTAGTCCACTCAGACTCATATACTAATCTCTGGAAACAACCTCACAAACACACACAAAATAATGCTTTACCCAGTTTCTAGGTATTCTTGAATCTATTCAAACTGATGCCTAAAGTTAACTACACAAGTTACCCTTTGTCAACTTGGTACTCACATGAATATCTAAATCATACTTAGTTTTCAAATAAAGACAGTAATAAGGTAATAGTACTGCCAAATCTTGTGATTGGGATTTCAAACACCAGGGATTTTGGTCTTTTGGGATTTCAACATTGGGGGATTTTGGTGTTCTGAATTGTGTCTTTTGGGATTATGATCCAAAACCCTTTTTTAAAAAGGATGCTTCCAGTTACAACCACTAAGGTCACGATGCTTCCTCCTGGTTGTACTGAAAGAATATGCTTCAATCGCACTGGACAAAGTAAAATGGGCTACTAGTAAAATGATGGGCCTTTCTTTGATTACCATTATGTGCCTAAACAACTACTTACTGGGCCTGTTCCCTCACTTCCCCTGGGCCTAAAGGAGGATACAATTTCACTGAGGAAAAATGACTGGAACAGAAATTCCAAATCACTAAGAACTTACCTGTGATTTGACCAGTAGTCACACGAGCAGTTTTTAGACTTTGAGATGAGGTAGAGTTTGTATTATCCTCTCTAAAACAACTTACTAAAATAAAAGCACTTTTGACAGTTAGAAAACAACACTAGCTTTGTTTACATTTATAATACAATATTAGTTTTGTATATATATATATATATATATATATATAAATTTTTTTTTTTTTTTTTTAAGTTGGAGTCTCACTCTGTCATTCAGACCGGAGTGCAGTGGCTGTTCCCGGTCACTGCAGCCTCAATCTGCTGGGCTCTGGCGATCCTTCCGCCTCAGCCTTCCAAGTAGCTGGAACTACAGGCGTATGCTACGACTGGCTAATTTTTGATTTATTGTAGAGATGAGGTCTCTCCAAGTTGCCCAGGTGGGTCTCGAACCCACAGCCTCAGGCAAATCACTCACTTCAGCCTCTCAAAGCGCTGGGATTACAGGTTGAGCCACCGAGCCTGGCCTTGTTTATATTTTTAAAGGATCAGTAGATATGAGGTCTTTGTTCTTCTTTTCTTTTCTTTCTTTTTTCTTTTCTTGTTTATATTTTAAAAGGACGTACAATATCAATAGATATGAGGTCTTTGTTCTTCTTTTCTTTCTTTTTTCTTTTCTTTAGAAAGCAGGATTTATCAAGAGGACAGAAAAGCTCCCACAGTGGGAGGGGACCCAAAGGGGTTGCCCTATTCTTATTAATTTTCTATTGCTGGCTGGGCATAGTGACCCATACCTGTAATCCCAGCACTTTGGAGAAACGCTGGAGTCCCGGAGTTCCAGACCAGTCTAGGCAAGATAGCGAGACCTCGTCTCTACAAAAAATAAAAAATTAGCTGGGTGGGATGGCGCGTACCTGTAGCCCCAGCTACTTAGGAGGCTGAGGTGAGAAGATTACTTGAACCTAGGAGGTCGAGGGTGCAGTAACTGTGATTGTGCCCCTGTGTACCACCAGCCTCACAGAGTGAGACCCCAACTTGAAAAAAACAATAAAACTACTGTCTTTTTTGGATGGCATTTAAAAATCATTAAGAAGTAAATGTCTAAAACCAGATCATATTGAAAATCATTTTTAAATAGATTTATCTGTGTTTGCACTTCCTTCCTTTATTGTTTTATTTATTGTGTGATTATTTTATCCAATAAATGTTATCATAATAAATTTTAAGCTCCATGAGGGCACTGCCTGGAAACACGAAGAGAGGATTCATTGACTTAGCATAGTCAGTATAAGCTACTTGTCCCTTTTTTAAATTCCTCTAGGCTTGTAATACATATTAGGTTCAAAAAAATATTCTAAAATGCCAGCTTAAAGGTCTCCAGGAAGTAAAATATTTAATTATTAACCATTAGTGATATTAAAATATTTATATGCCTTTTAGTTCTACTTAATTGAATTTGGTAGAAAGGGAATAATGGAGGCAGTACTTTACTTGGCTATAACAGCATTATCAGTTTATCTGGAAAATAAAAGGTTTCGGGCATATCCTTCTCTGAGACTCTATATGAATTTGTCTGAAAACCACTTGTGTTAATGGAATGTTTTTATCTTCAGCTACTACAAGCGAAACAAAGCCTAGGTCTCAAAATTGAATTTAATTAAAAAATCTATTGCATAAGTTACTCCCACCAAAAAACCCTACAAATCTTAGATCCATTATAAGTGCTTTGTAATACATTTTGGTTAGTGGGGAAAGTATTGTATATCCATACCAATTTGTCCCTTTGTAGATGTGCTATTCTCACTTCACAGCTCAAGGCAAGAGACTGGGAAGTGATTCAGGATAAACAAGTGAATGAATGTTTGATAATGTGGAAGAGACATATATTCATAATCAATTTACCTGATCTGTCCACGAACTAGAGGTCTGTTCTTTGTCCTATTCATGTTCGAGTCAAATGGTACCTCAAAAAACTGTAAAAAGAATGAAGAAGACAGAAAACATTCAATACAATATGAAACAAATCTTCTGCTTTAGTACTGAAAGTTTTTCTAGAGTAAACTTTAAATTTGCAAGTATGAAATACCTTGCCACTTTTTGAAGAAAAATTTAAGAAAATGTATTAATTGTCATCAATATCTACTTCTATCTACTTTGAAAACCACTTTCTAAGTATGCAGTTGTCCTTTGACACAGGGGATTGGTCCCAGGACTCCCAAGTATACCCAAATTAATGAATACTCTAGACTATGTAGACCCTGTGAAATTCACCTATACGAAAAGTTTGCTCTCATTATATTCAGGGTTCACATACTGTGACTTGAGTTTGGGTGAAAAAAAAAAATCCATGTGGAGTTCAAACTCCTGTCCTTCTAGCATCAACTTTGCATTCTTTAATGCCCCTGTTTCAAGGTTAAAGCACTTGTGCTATAAATGATCTCAGAATCCTTCACATATCCCAAAGTCTGTGAATTAACCAACCCTGGGGAAGTAAATCAGATCCCAGATGAAATTTTACACAACTGTTGAGGTTATACTGGGATTAGGATAACCATCCTATTGTACCTGGAATAGTCCTAGTTTATACCTTGGAGTCAGCATCATTAACAGCAACCTCTTTCACTCTCAAAACATCCCAGCTTGGACAATGGATTAGTATGGTCACTCTAACAATGAAGTATGGTTTTAGCTGTTTACCTGCTAAAAGACAAGGCCTAGGAGATTATTAAAACTCACTTTCCAAAGCCTTGACAAACTGCACAATATGTTCTTAAATTTGTTATGAATGTCTCTTACTTGTCATCATTTTTATATAACAGAAGGCTCAAATATGTGCTGATCAGATTATTATTTAAGAATATCTTTGACTAAATGGGCTTGAAACAAATCAGTAGATCTAGACAACAATTTAACGGAAAGTTTAAGTCAGTATTTCCCCAACTATGTTCCCTTATACTTCTCGGAACTGCTCCCAGAAAGAATGACTTGATGGTCAAATCATATTAATACAATAAAGACTCTGAGAGTATGGGCCAAATCCAGCTTGTGCCTGTTTTCGTAAGGTCCATAAGCCAATACTTGAAAAAATTTTTTTAATAATTTGAAAAATAAATTGAAAGAATGTTTGTAGCACGTGAAAATTATATGAACGCTAAACTTCAGTGCTCATCAACAGTTTTTTTGGAACTCAGCTATACTCATTTGTCTAAGTATTGCTACAGCTGCTTTCACACAACAGCAGAGTAGATAGTTGCAACAGACACAGCATGGCCACAAAGCCTAAAACTATTTACTGTCTGGCTCTTTACAGAAATTGTTTGCCAACCCTAATTCACTAGAAAGTCTGAGATACAAGAACTTGGTTAATTATAATAACATGTATAGTACAATGAGAAAGAGAAGTGCAAAGAGTTATGGCAGCCCAGAGAATGAGTTCTGAATCCAGATGGGTAGGCAGGAAAAATTTTCTTCAAATACTCTTAAACCAAGACATAAAGACTCAGCAGTATCAGAAGGTTAAGGGGATAAACTAGAAGGGAAGAGCACTCCAGACACATGGGGAAGCACAAAGGGATGGGATATAGAAATTTGATGACGTGCCTCAGTAACTAGAAGGAATTCAGCACAGCATGGAGGTTAAGAGCCTAGGCTTTGTAGCTAGAGAGAGCAGGTCTAAATTTCAGCTTTACCACTTACAAGTGGCTGTGTATCCTGTGTAAATCTAGTTTCCTCATCTGTAAGATAAAAATAAAATAGAACTTACAAAGTTGATGTAAGATAACATATATAGAGCATTCACAATAATGATTAATTGAACTACTATTACTATTATTAGTATTGCTAGATGGGTGATGATGAAACTTCAGAGGGAGGCAAGGATCATGGAGAGCCTCACATGCCATGCTAATGAGCCATGACTCTATTGTGAATAAGATGTATTTTGAGCCGGGCTCGGTGGCTCAGCCTGTAATCCCACGCCTTTGGGAGGCTGAGGTGAGTGGATTGCCTGAGCCCGTGGGTTCGAGACCCGCCTGGGCAGCAAGACCTCATCTCTACAATAAATAAAAAATCAGCCGGACGTGGTAGCGCATGCCTGTAATTCCCGCTACTCGGAAGGCTGAGGTGGAAGGATCGCCGGAGCCCAGCAGGTCGAGGCTGCGGTGGCCAGGAGCGGCCACTGCACTCCAGTCTG